TTTTCATCCGTTGCTCCCATTGTGAGAAGCTTCTTTGTTTCAAGCATTTCGTGCTAGAGTATCACATTTGTTCATTCAAGTGGCAAAAGTTATCCTACTGTATATATAGATTGCATGGGCATACGAGTAAAACTGAAGTATTACTTTATGTGGATAAATATCAGTAAAAGCTTCAGAAGGTCATAAAACGTGATGAAATCACCATGAGAGTATCTTCTAGTCTTTGAAGGAAAAATTCTATAAAATGCAAAAATTCCGTCCCCACAAAACCCGAACCCTAGCCTCTCGCCAATGAAGCGTCACGCTTACCACTACACCTAGCCGCCGTTAAGGAATTAGCCGCATCCATGTAATTTAAGTTTTCTTGTGTTAAGCTCCCTGAAACCACCCTCATAACTCCGTCGAGAAACTCTTGGCAAATTTAGAAAGCAGATTTGAACTCAGCGTCCGAAAACACGTCTTGTAGTGTAGGTCTCATTTCAAATGGCCACTTCGAATTGGGATCCTTCCCTGATTAGCTCCTAAGCTGCCATAATGTAAAAAGAAAGACTTGCGAATGAACGCACAAGCAACATTCCAGCAAGTGCCATATTTACATGATAGATTGATGAGCGACACTACCGTCTTCATGAACACACATTGAGGTGAGTGATCAAGAAAGATTTCATGAAAGTTACTCGTTCTGCGTGCTCTTAGCATGAATGTGTTAACAATCCGCACTAACATCAGCCAGATACAAAGTGGAAATAAGTTCACTTTAGGCCGAACATACAGTAGCGTCAATTTTACCTTGCCGCAACTTTTTTCCCAGCGGAGCAAATCCATAAAATTTTGATATGTTTAACAGAAGCATATTTCACACTATCTAACACTATTTNGTAGGAAAGGAGTTATGGCTGAAAAGCACGAGTGAAGAAGCATTTGGCCGAATTCTTTCGAGCACTACTGTATATATCGTATCCGTGACTCATTTCGCAGCTCCAGAGAAAAGAAGTAGATTGAAGCCTTTTCCATGAGATTTTTTTTGAACGTACTTGAATAGACAACATACCACTGTTCTTACCTTAATTTTGAGTTCCTGATTTGCAGGAATCACTTCACTCATGTACAATATACCGATATCACTAGTGTATGTCGTGTAATGAATAGGTACAATTCTTCCGTTCTGAGAAACTAGTCTTTTCTATGATTGCCTTATTATCAGCCATCAACACCAACCATTGAAATTTCCGAATTTTTCTCGTCCAAACTGAGACCTTCCATATGAAGAACAACATAATTAACACTAGCAAGCACTTTTGCTATTACTTCTACATCGCCTTCGAAGGTTAGTATCTTGTTTTTCGGGACATTTACATACGGAGGCAAATAAACCTTTAGTTTCAGATCATATTTCACTGAAAATATGAGAATCATCGAAAGATTTTCAAGCCTCAGAAAGCATAATGAGTAACACTATTTAAATAATTTGTCTCCTTGAGATTCAGTTGGGTGGTCGTGTGGATAGACGATAAAGAAGCTGAACTGACGCAATCGTACCCTTTGGGTCCGCTTGGGTCAGTTCAGCTCCGTAAACCTCGAATGTCTAATTATTGTAAATTTCCAATTTTGAAGCTGTTCATGCTCCCTACAGCACATGGACAGTTGTGAAACCTAAGGGCGAAATATTCTTGTTGCGTTATCTTGATTGCCTGACGGAAATTAGTTAGTAGGGCTTGGTTCCAAAACACGGTAACTCGAAACACATTTAAGGCTTGGACAGCTCACAGTCAGCCTTCACTCTAACTAGCATACACGCCCGATTGCTAGACGAGTTTGTCATATCAAACTTATGTGGGACCTAAATCCATCTGATAAAATGTAGTAATTACTTTCTATAGTTCGCTGATAGAAACAGATATATGTACTATGCTTTTTCGAAAGCTCTCGAATAGTTCCAGTAAAATTTCACGAATACTGAAATAGCGTTCGCAAGCCTTTGGAAAAAGATGTCATCTCTGTTTCAAGGAGACTTAACATGCAGGTTTACAAATAGGATCTGAAAGAGTAGCAGGACTTCGAACAGTAGCTTCATCTTTGGTTGACCGGCTAGGAACCGATGAAATTATATATATATATATATATATATATATATATATATATATATATATCTGCACGTCATTGCTGAGCAACGATATTGAGTGGAACGAACCCGGTCGTACATCTTTAGGAAGCCTGTAGGTGGAATAGTTGAAAGGCTCGTAGTGGGGGACATCTGGCACAGACGAGCTGAAAATATTGTACAGTATGGTGTTTCAGACTTTTTCTATTCGTAAAAACGATTTCTCATGCATTCTCATCGCTCTGTATAAGATCCTCTTGAATCTTCTTTATACATAGCCGCACTGAAGGATACCGATTCGTGAGTTAATGCGGTATTTCCATCCCACAGAGCGAGTCAACTAAGCGGAACGCCTATTCTTTGAAGTAGTGTGGTTGAAAAGTCATTTACTGATGCTATCTCACGAGTGGATCGAGTCAACTAACAGCGAAGAATTCTCTGCGGCAAAATGGAAACCATTTTATACATCAAGCTTGCTCTTTGACAGAACACAACTTTCACTTTGGCGTGACACCCTTTCAAATTGCTACAGCGTCCTAGGCTGAACCGGAAAGCTTCGCATGTTTTGAAGCAATCGAGCTACGGTTGCACCCTTGTTTTTTCTGTCCTGTTGCGAATGTGCGCTAAAGCCACGTTGCACTTCTGCAAAGGAGACAAGGTTCAATAATGACCATAGAGCCTTTAAGGCTTTTTGAGGCTCGTTGGGTTCTCCTGGTTTTTTCGGGGGAGGGATATGACGAAGTTGTCGAGAGTCAGTGAATGACAATGGCGCATGCCTCAGGTCTCCATTAACTGAAGATTCACATAAACTATGGCAGCTGACTTCACGGTCAACACAATAAAAATGCATTCGTAACAATTTTCAAATGAATGTTTTCCAGTAGTTTCCGTAATTCGAAAACGCTTTGAGCATAAACTTTCGTTGAATCTGTTTATGCTCGAAGCGTTTTCGAACGACGGAACTCATTGAAAGGACTTTCATTGGACTGCAAGAAGAACCTCACCTTTCTTCTGCTTCTGTTCCTCCAAACCACCCAAGGAATATACCACAAATAAGCACAATGGCAATAACAAGAATAATGATACCAGCAGAAACCATAATTTTCATTGGCATTTGGGGTTTACGTTCTGCGACCTTTACTTCCACATGACGAGCACGTTTACTACTCTTAAAGAATTGACATGATTTTTTGGTAATCTTACTATATCGGAGTAAACGGAAAGTTAGACAAAAATTTCTTGAACTTCAGCCTTCTCCCGAATGTTCTAGAAAGCGTTACAGAAATAGCATGACAAGAAACTACCTACTTGCCTGCGCAAAACATGCCCAGTTCCCTCTTCCTTGATGCTCAACCCGCTAGTGGCCGCACCCGACATGTACCCCTTCACATGATCCAATAGGGCACTTTGGTACTTAAGCGTTTAAGGTACTCGGCTTCGAAACAATCTTTTCAACGGTCTGTATGTGCCCAGCTCTAATTGTAAGCGTTAAAGCCGATTACATATACCGAATTGCCTATTTCGATTTCTGTACGAAGATTATCGTACAAGTCCAAAAGCAATCGCGACCGCATGGTTTCGTGGTGTTGTTCAGACTGATGGATTCAAAGAGAAGGTTACATGAAGGACGACGCATTGTGAAAATGTCCAAAACTTCTCTGCACATGCAAGCGCACAGGGGAAACTAGAATTCCGAGCCTCACCAATGAAAGAGGATCAGAAACGCCATTCCTAAGCCAAGGAATCGAACACGTGGTGGACATGTCGTGTGATTTAGAGAAGACCGTTGGGGCACGGCGGTTCCTGACTTGGAACGTCCGAGACGTCATGTGAAGACCAGAATGCCACTATGATCTCTTTTCACAGAGCTCCAGACGCGGTTAAAAGAGAACTGACTTATCCTATTCATTAAATTTTGCTGATCTCCGTGAGAGTTTTACGCGGACACCGACACATTTAGAGCACTGCCTATAAAAGGTCTCCTTACTCACAAAATGCGCCAGTTCCACCGACGACACGGGATAATCATCCGTTAACCTATCTTTCAGATGAACAAGGAGCTGCAGGAGGAGCCTTATTCAAATCTCCTCGTCTGCCATTTGCTTCAGAGCTACTCCACTACGTGAAGATTCTGAACCAAATTCAGACAAGTGCGAAAAGTGAAAAAGGAAACTTTCCTGTATTGTCACAGCATGAATTGATTAAAGCAAAAAAAAAACATGAAATCTTTGAAATTGAATGCTCGCTAGAAAAGTCAAACTCGACAATCTCATAGTGCGTTTCACCGAGAATATCGGGTACTGCACGGCCGATTCGAACTGACAGACGACCTCGTCATCAACAGATGCAAAAACGACTGACACAAACTATTTCAAATAACACTAGCGACAACACTAGTTCAGCTCCCGGAGAACACTACCCAATGGTAATCTGAATGGCTTTTTCGGCAGTAAACGAGTAAACGAGGAAGCCTAGAAGAAATGGTTCACGGAAAAAGCGTATAAGAAGTCCGTAAAGAAGAAGAGGGACCTGAGCTTAGCCTGCAGTATCGAAAAGAAGAAGGTAGGTGTTCAGATAATAACCTACGATAGTGNGGGGGGGGGGGGGGGGATCGATTGTACCTAGACCACGTACGTGTAAGAAGATCGTTTCTCAAAAATGTGACGAACAGCAAGGTTCTGCCTGGTGAAAAGTTGGCTCAGCAGAAAAGCTTATCCTCGTGTACATAATAATCGGGCTCACCTAAAATGCAGGGAAGAAGAACTGAGCAGAGAGTCCGGTTGAATTAGCTACATTTAGCAGAAAAAACGACCTCAAGCGAAATATACCGGAAGCTGGTCCCTCAAACCTTTAAGGACCGGACCAGCAACTATGGGACAAATCAGTGAAGGCCATCCCACGAAATGTGCAAGGATATGTCTGAGCTGCGAAGTGGATTCAGACGAAGTGGTTTCAGTACGGTGAAGTTCATAGGACCATAGAAAAGAAGTAAGAAGCGTACAAGCATTGGCGAACGACGGTAGCCCCAAAAGACCTAGCTGTGTGCAGAAGTTGCAAGAAGCTTCCCAAGGTTGCCGCAGAAAAGGCGGGAATACGGAAATGGAAATAAATTGAAGCACGGCTGCCATCAATATACATAGTTGCCAGGTGATGGGGAAGTATCGGCAAGAGTGTTCACACTGCTACCGAGCCTTCCTCGGCATGATAAGTTTCCCGGCGAGTGCACCGAGAAGCAAACGTGCAAGAGACGTCACGGCTGAGTATCCAACTCGCTCCTCTTTTTGTCAACAATGGAGGACATCACAGAATGATGCCAAAACGGACCACTGAAGAATAGGGACTCTCCGCTTCGCTACGATAGCTAGAAGTAGGGAAGAACACTAGGGCAAGTTGCGGAGACAGCAGAATCTTTTGGAGGAGAATGGGCTGTAACCCGACGCAAAAACGACCACGTTTTCGAGGAGTTCAAAGAATCAAGTGCAGTATGAAACCGTTAAAAAAACCATCGATAGAACCGGACTCCAATGCTTTGGGAGCGCCTGGCTGACGGAATACTGGATCAGACGGTGAAGACTCATTACAAGCAAGACTGGATGAAATCAATGTAGCTCCGTAATATATTACAGATCATGGTGATGCTCTCCTGGCCTCTAACAGTAACCATGAAAAGTAACCACTATTTTTAATTTTATTACATTTTTTTAATTCTTTAAATTTTTTTCGAACCTTCACGCCATTCGAACCGTTGAAGCTATAACATTCACGCGGATTCGAAAGCTACTTGATGTATTTCATCACATCTGTACCTATTTGCACTCATGGAAAATTCTCGTGCCCATAACAGCAAAAAGCTGTTCTTTTGGAAGCGGTTTTCTAAAGAGATTTGCTTCTGATACAGAATACAGGATAGTCATGTAATGTTATCCAGTCATGTCAGAGGATGCGCCCACTAGATCCATCTGCTCCATTCCGGCATATTGAATACGTACGTGCCCTATACAATGACCTGTTGTGGCCAGCCGATGTACATTTCCCCCGAGACGAATCTGATACTAATTGACCGACTCCGGAGGAATGGAAGGCTTGGTTAGCCTGGGCATACATCGATCTGGGATTTGAACCCGTGACCATGCGTGTGTAAAGTACGTCACTTGCCACTGCACCACCTCCTCTTCGCTGCTGATATGTAAAACAATGAGGGTGCATTTTTGAGAACTCTAGCGACATTTATGACTTCCATGGCATCGAGTGCCATAAAGCAATGAGATCATTGGTGCTCTACTGAAGTTCTCTATTACTACTATACCATGACTTCTTTTCTTTACCACCAATCTCCTTCACTGAGAGTTCCTTCCCGTTCTTTCCCTCGGAACACTTTCTGGCCGGTTGAAGGAGAGGCCACGTGACACTATGTCAGGTGGTAGTAATTGCTATCACCTGTTTTTAGGTCACCACAGATTTTCCCGAACGCAAATTGGTAACGTTTCAATCTCGTCCCTGTTTGGAATTAGTGTAGTGGATCGAACGAGAGTCCCGCGGCTAGCATTCCTTCCTCCTCGTGTCGAAATCAGACCATCGAGCTGGAGTTCGTTCAACATCACGAGGAACGCAGCCCCCAGCCCCCTTGATCTAGCGGTCCTCAGAAAATGTCCTCCCCACTTGATCTTCTATTCATTGGTTTGAAC